GAGACATGGATGAAAAGCCTCCAGCTGGCTGCCATGAACAACAGGATAGTGGAGGGCAAAAAAAGTGGCATAGAAGTGACCAAGCTGCATGCTGCCTTGCTGATTAAATCTTTCTCCTCCTCCATATCTGTGAATCTAGAACCTTGAACCCCATCCTGGGACCTTGTTGTGATACTCACAACCAAAGAATCAACTAAAGAAAACTATTGAACCAATAACCAGGAAATAGAGCCAGTGGGGGAAAGGAAATAAAATGAGAGGGATCAGATCAAACTTCTGCAACCCGAAATTGCAAAGGCCTGGAAAAAAGCAGACCCAATAAAATTCAAAAGCAGGCATAGCTCTCAGCTGGGTCTAGATGTCACCATAACCCCAGGTGGCAGCACAGACCACCCAGATCAGCTTGGCCTTAGCAGCAGCATGGCCGTTTAGACATCAACATGGACTCAGGTAGCTGACCTGACTCCAGGAATCCACATAGACTTCAGTGGCAACTGAGGCCATGGGCATCAACACAGACCCCGACTGTTACAGGGCCATGGACCCAGACAACAAAATTCAAAACCATACATGGGCATCAACTGCAGCTCAGGCCTGGACACCACCATGACCCCAGACCGTGAAATGAGCCACCCAGATAAGTTTGGCCTGAGTGGCAGCAGAGCCATCAGACACCAACATCACTGTAAGTGGCAACCCAGACCTGCTCATCCTTGTGGCCTTTGGCGGCAACATGGGCCATGAACATTAATACAGACACCAGCTGATGTAGGACCAGGGACCCAGACATGACCATCAGCAGCAACATGGGCCAGGAGGTCACCATGACCCCATGTAACAGTACAGACCACCCAGATCAGCATGGCTTAGCTGTAGCATGGCTCTTGGAGACCAACATGGCCTCAGAAGGTGGACCAAACCCCACGCATCCCCATGGCCATTAAGAATAATATTAAAATTACATACTTACAACTAAAAAGTTTCAGGGAATCTTACAACCATAGATTTCTGCACACATGATATACATACTAGATCACATACATATATACATAACATGAACAAACATTTTAAAAGATAAAAAAGAATAAAAAGAACAGAGGTAGACCCTCACATAAAAAGAAACTTAGGACATGACTGAGACTGTAATAAAAAAAATGAAAGCATGGTGGCATTCAATAATTGGTATTTGCTACTAGTGTGAGGAAAACCAGGCATCCATCCAACATCCTAAGCACATATGTCTCAAATACATATAAGCCTTTTAGAATTAGATATAGGAAATATCTCTATGACTCTGACTTCTGATGGTCTTCTTAAACAAGACTAAGCCATACAGGAAAAAAAAACTGATTAACCTAAAATATTAAACTTTTAAAAATTTGGTACAAAGTGACAGTAAATAAAGTTGGAAGTCATGCCATAAACTAAAAGGCATATGCAATAAAATGTATAAAAAAGGAGTAGTACTCAATATTCATAAAGAACAGCTATAAATAAGTTTAGCAGAAGATGAACATGCCGATAGGGGAAAATGTGCCAAGGTTGTGAATAAACTATTAACAGAAGAGAAACCCTGAGAAAACTAAGCATATGAAAATACAGCCTTGCTCATAATGATGAAAATGAAAAGGGAAGCTATAAGATACCATTTCACGCTAATAAGATGGACATGATGGTAAAGTTTGACAACATTAAGTGTTGATGAGGATATTCATCAAAAATACTCCCACCATGCAGAAGATAATTTATAACCACCCATCCATCCATGTTCCTTCCTATATGAGTACTCCAGAAAAACTCTCCCAGGTGGGTATAAGAAAGCAATATACAAGAATTTTCCTTTTCAAATGATGCGTGATAATCAAAAAATAGTTAATAAAATACCTACCATTAGACTATGGGTAAATAATTTACAACATATTATAATTGGACTACTGCTAAATACCCAAAATAGTCAAATCATGAATGTCCAAGGAGGCAAAGAAGGGACGATGTTGAGAAGGCTTCCATCATACTTACAAAGACTTAAAAGCTTCAAGGTCTGGAAAATATCTAGCTTTGTTAGGCTTATATGGTGGCCATATAGTATTATTCATCAAAACTGTTGCAATACTTAAAACATTTCATAAATTGGCAAACTGTAAATGAAATTCAGAAAGATTTTCCTGAAGGGCAGAGGAGCATGAACATCTGTGTCATGAATATACTATGTCAGAAAAACAGACAAATTTATGATTTTCTACAGTGTCAGAATTTAATGAGCAACAAATTCACAAGCTGCATCAATTTCTTTGGCAACAGTTTGCCTTTGCCAAGTATCTCTGATTTCCCTTGATAACTGGTCATTTAAAGACAGATTTCGTTTCGTTTTGTTTTACAAGTCAGGTTTCTCTGTGTACCTCTGGCTGTCCTGGCTAGCCTTTTAACTCACAGAGATCCTCCCGCCTCTGCCTCCTGAGTGTTAGTATTAAAGGTGTGCGCCACCACTGACCAGCCCACAGATTCTTTTATTCTAATATTAATTATTTATTAATTTTCAGATCACATAGTACACATCACTATTGATAGACAGATAGATGGATAAATAGATAGATTAGATAGATAGATAGATAGATAGATAGATAGATAGATAGATAGATATCATAGACAGTCAGGCAATAGAACCAGAATCAAAGATAAAAGCAGACTTAAAGGAGCTCAAAGAGATCTAACTGGGGACAGAGGGAGGAGGCTGATAGATGCAGAGTCTCTGTGGGAGTTCAGTACCAAAGCTGTGGGGAAGTTGCAGGAAATGCAAAACAGTGTTGAGTCCTGCAGTTAAATTAAGCTGTACAGATAAGATATGGGACCAAGGAGGCCATACAGGAAAAGTACAGGACAGAGCCTTGACAGACAAATAGTGGACAGGCAGTTCAAGTAGAATGCATCAGCAATGAGATCTGAGCCAAAATGAAGCCCCCAAGACAGTTGTGAGTTCTCTGCATGCTGGTCCCTTGATGCACACACCAGGTGATGATAGGTCTCTAGGTTGTGTTGTCATCACAGTGTTGGGTGTCCTCCACTTGATGGGGTCCAGGTCTGGTGTTATACACGTCCTCGGTCTGGTGTGTTCAGTAACTTCATGAGCAGGTCTTTCTGATATGGTTTTAACCTACCTACATGTTCCTGTGACCCTGTCTTAGCTAGTGTTTCTATTGCTGTGAAGAGACCCCATGAGCACAGCAACTCTTACAAAGAAAACATTTAATTGAGTGAGGCTCCTCACTTACAGTGTCAGGTTCTGTCCATTACTATCATGACAGGGAGCGTGGTGGCATGCAGGCAGACATAGTGCTGAAGTTGAGAGTGTTGCAACTTGCAGGCAACAGGAAGTCTACTGACTGTCACACTAAGGGAGGATTGAGCAAAAGAGACCTCAAAGCCCTCTCCCACAGTGACACCCTTCCTCCAATAAGGCCATGCCTCCTAAGAGTGCCACTCCCTTTGGGGGCCATTTTCTTTCAAACCAACACAGGTCCTAGTCCACTTTGGTAAGTTTATAGAGAGGCCCCCTTTCTGCTTTTAGGGATAACTTATTTAACAGCCTGTGCCCCGTGAATGGTGTCAGACAGAGGTGTCTTACATGTCCTCCAAGGTGCCAAGTCATCCTGCCTCTACATTTGTACTCAAAATGGAGTCAGAAGTGCTTATAATATGAAGTCACCCAGGGCAAAGCACAGCCTTAGAACACTGTTTTGTCCAGTATTAAGTCACTTTCGGATGAGGAGCCTGATCTCAAAATTTTGCCGATGTGAAGAATTGTTTGTTGTTTGTAATTGTCAGTACTGCCTGACTTAGCAGTGTTGTGTCATATAGCCTTTTGAAAAACTCATATAGAAACATACTACATTAGAATCTTCCTAATATGTATATGAATAAAAGCTTAAATGGGGCTTACTTATAATGGGGACACAATACCTCAAATAGATACCATATGCTACCAAATAAAATTCCAGTGCCAGGAATTAGCTACCTCTTTTTGAATTGTTGGCCAATGGGATTACGTGGATCCTAATAAAAACATTACAGGTTATTACCAGTTCTATTGGTTACCCTCCAGAACTTGGCAGTTAGACTCTGTTTCTTCAGAATTTTAAAGTTTTCAATATAGAATTCTACATTCTTGGTTAGGTTAACTTAGAGTTTGTTTTTTGGTGGTGGTGGTGGTGTTGCTGCTGCTGTTTTGACTATTAGGGTTGTTTCCCTATTTTCTCTCTTGGTGTGTTTGTCATTGATGTCTAAGAAAAGCTATTGGATCTTGTATTCTAATTTTGTATCCTGCTACTTTGATGGATTTTTATTTATTGGTTCAGGGTTTTCTAGTGGCATCTTTAGAGTCTTTTATGTCTAGAGCCATATCTAACCTGGAAACAGGTGTCATTTAACTTCTTCTTTTCCCAAAATACTGCCAGAATGTGCTTTCTTACTTCTGTGTCAAAGTGGAAAACTAATTCAGTGAAGGTGAGTGGCCATCACTCTATCATTAATAGGCAACATCTGTATGCTGAGACACCCTTGGAAGTAACTACCCACTCATGGATCCTAGTCATTCCAAAGAACCCAAGTTGATCAGTCACCAGCTGGTACACATCTATTTTTTGGTTGTTAGCCTACCCTTTAATGGCTAAATCATCTCTCCATCCCAATTACATACCTATTTTATATTGTGTTTCATTTTTTAGGGAAACCTGCCTGTTTTCCACTGTAGTAAAGAAAAACTGTCATAGTTGATAATGTTCTCTTTGTAATAGAAATAACCTAGGGTCAGGGAGGCCACTGGAGAAAATGGAGGAGAATAGAAGGGGACTTTAGAATGGACCAATAGAAAACTGGACGAGCCATTGGTGGGCTCAACCTCAGCTGAATCATTAAAGACTAAGCTATTCCCAGCAGAGATAACTGAAGAAATTCCCTACAAATGCTTTTGACCATTTTCTGACTTGTGTCTATTTTCCCCACAGCCATGGAACTAGGTGTGCAGGAGAAGTTTCTGCTGCGGCCAGCAACAATATCTGTGGAGTCGGTGTGGCATACAACTCCAAGGTGGCAGGTGAGCCAGCCCTGCCAGAGACAGGCACCAGGCTGGACAGCCTGCCCTAAGAGCTGTCACACTCTGATCTCCAATCCTGCAGAGCCCAGCAAAATTACCCCACTGGGAAGGAATTTTGAGACCCATAGGCAGAGCAAGCATGGGAAAGACATTTCATTTTAACCTGCACACAACATACTTTCAATATCCTTAAACATAAGCCACTGAAAAATAGGCAGATCACAAGCACATAGCTCAAATGTGAATGGATTTTCATAAATGTAACACACATGTAAACAACAAAATCTAACCAGACCCCAAAGCCCTCCTCCTCATGATCCTGCCCCCAGTATTAACCATACCTACCCAAGAGTAACCACAATCTTGTTTTCTGACAGCAAAAAAATGATCATTTCTGGCATTTACCTTTATATTAATGCAAAGTCACTACTTTAAAATATGCAAAGTCACTGCTTTAAAATACTGTGTCAATGTCAACAACGCTTTAATGAGAATCAAATATAGCCTATAGAACATGAGGAGGTATGAGAGGACTATTTCTAAAGATGCTGAGTGGCCTTGAAACTATTTTATATGATCCACCACTTCTTTACAAAGACATGATCCACCTGGAACCTTTTATGAAACCCCCTGGATCCAATACTTTATACTTTCTCTTTCAAGGGCTTTAGGAGTGGAAGAGGAAAGTCAATGGAGATTTAAAGAAAAAGGCAAACAGACTCAGACATTTTCAATAAGATGCCTGAGAATGGAATGTTTTCTGCTTGTTCTAAGTTTGGGCCAAACTGGTTCTTAATTCAGTCAAGCTGAGTCACCTAGTCTTGTTTGTCTTTCTTTTTAACAATTTTCTTGATCATTTCTTTCCTAGAAATTTATTGAACCATATGCCTACTTTGAGCCAACACTTGCATATTTAGGGACCTAAATAAAGAAAATGGACTTTCTACAAACCAACCCCTAGCTTTTTCAGAGTGCTTGCAGAAGCACCTGCCTGAACTGGGTGCAGAATTTCACAAAAGAATAAATCTGGAGGGCTGGAGGCTGGCTCCATTGATCAATTATGGATCAATAATCCATAAATGGCTCGCCTTTTATGTACAAGGACCTGAGCTTCACAATTATGAAAGCTGTCTCGTCCCGGGTGTGTGTGTGTGTGTGTGTGTGTGTGTGTGTGTGTGTGTGTGTGTGTGTTTCACTGAAAATGAACCAAACTCTTCCAGAGACTTTTCCTTAAGGAACTTTCTATGCTATGGAGGGCTAAAGCGCCACCTGGTGATCAACTGGGATAATTGCTAGTCTGCGGCATTCAGGAGATGTTCAGTGATGGTCAGGGAGACACTGGTAGGAACACTTGATGGGTTTTGATTCAAGCTGTCTCAAAAAGAAGAAAGAAAACAGCTTGTCGCAGTTTAGTGGCACAGACCAATAATCTCAGAACATGAGAGGCTGAATGAGAAGCATCTGAGTAAGAAGCCGACTTAATGCTACTTAATGAAACTGTGAAATAGAAAAGAGAACATTAAGCACCTCTCCAGTTGTGTCCTGCCTGTCCAGCTCTTCAGTTCACAGAATTTGCTCATGTTTCCTGTTGCTGTTCAAGCACTCTTGGTAGGTCATAAATAACTGACCATGAGTTTGTTTCAGTCAGTGTAAACTTTGACACAAAGCCACCTAGAATCTATTTTTGCAGATGCAGTGCTAAGTTGACTAGCAGTTCTCTTTTTCTCCAAACAGTAAATCAGTGTTTCCAACACCATCTATGCAGCAACTAACTCCCACTTACAGTCATGTGCAATTGTCTGTTGTATATTGACTTTCCATACGCATATAAGTTAATCTCTGGGTAAATCCAACTTGGGTAAAACCTCGTGAAATATGAGTTAGAAAGTATGGCTAGGATTGACCACTATCCTTGAGGACATATCTTCCTCCATTTATGCCACTCAGGCTCAATCAGTCACTTCTGGAATCAGTCTCACAGACACATCCAAAGCAATGCTTTGACAATTCCCAAGGTATTCCTTCATCAGTCAAGTTGACACCTAAAGTCATCTGTGCCATGCATGGCTACTTGATCTCTGCTTCTCACTTGGCAGCCACAGTCTCCACAAAGACAATCTCTGTCTACTTGATTTTACATTAGCTCTTGCAGAATCCAGATCAGACTCCAGCTCACAGTCTATGCACAAATCCTATTTTCTGAATACTAGGAAAGAATGAAAAAGAAAGGAAGGGAAGCAGAGGGAGGGAGTCAATGGATAAACACACTAAGATACCAATGGTCAGTTCATGAAAGAATGGGTAGGCAAGTTTGAGAGATTGGGAACATAAAGGCACAAAGGCAGTGGAATGCCACTCACCCCAGGAGGTAAAAGATGTCCTCCTACCAGAGCCATCAACCTTTGCTAATTTGCCTTATCAGATCTGTTACCAGCGATCAGGAGCCTTCTCCAGATACTCCTATATCATTGCATCTCAAATATACTATAGGTATGTCTGGTAACCAGACATCAGTGGGAACTGCTCAGGTTTCAGCAGAGATGCCAGTCTAGTGAGCCCTTTGCACAGTCAGTGCCCTGGGACCCTCCAGGCAGAACAGAATGCAAAACCACCCGCCAGCATCCCTGCGGCTCAGGTGTTGAAAATACAGTGTATGACTTTTCCTGGGTTCTCATTTTCAGAGTCTCAAAATATCAGGACCCAAAAAGACTCTAAAAGTCTAAATACCCATGGAGACTTATATAATGACAATTATAAAACTAATGATAACAATCAGCCTATTGCCTCTCTGTGAGGCACAGTGTGAAACTCTTTCCTTATTTAATGTTCTCTACAATTCCCTCAGATTATTACATCTCTATACAGCACATGTCACGGGCAAAATTTAAATAGAGGGACCACATCTTAGTAAACGGTGAGGTTGTTTTGCACCTGGTGTCCCTGCTTAGGAAACTCCAGCTCTACTGATGTAGCTGGGTCAGGATGAAATTGCAAGCCTCTGTGGCTGGAAACCAGCTCCTTCCTCTTCATTTGTTCTGCTCAGCCCATGAATGACCCTTAGAAATCCCCTTAAAGGGACGGACACCTTAAAAGCTGGGCACGCTCTGGTTTCTGACATCTAGTTTTTAAGGACACGGTTGTTACTACCTCTTCTCCACACAGCCAGGGAAAGAGGGAGGAAGAATTCCAACCAGGCTGGCTCCTGAAGAGTAATTGTCTAACATGGAAACTGGTGTCCCAGGCTTATCATTATAGTCTGGAAGGTTCAATAATTTCAATTTAGTTTTTGATATGCCCTTAACCATTTCTCTAATTTTATGAATTTTGAAAAGAAAGGCCAATTTTATGTATTTTGAAACTGTCTTTCTTGGGGATAATTTTGTAAGAAGAAAATCCAATTATTTTCTTTTCTAACTTTTAATTTTCATTTTTAAACCACATTTCACCTATTCAGCAAAAGGATTGGGCTTGAGAGATGGTTCAGGAGATGAAACTGCTGGCCATGAAAACCTGTTGACCTGAGTTCAGTCTTCAGAACCCAGAGGGGAAGGAGGAACCCAACTCCTGAAAGTTGTCCTCTGACCTCCACATGCATGTCATGGCACACACACACACACACACACACACACACACACACACACACACACACACACATATCATACATGCAGACATGCCTACATCATGCACACACATGTATACACACGTGCACACACCAAAAGGGGTAGATTGAGAAAAAATTAAAATTTAAAATGTATCAGCCATAAATAAATAGATTCACAAAAAAAAAAAACCTTCCAATAACATTACTTGCTGGTTTGTCAGCCTAATGCTGCTGAAAACTCGAGGCTATGCTAAGCCTTTGGGGAAATGCTGCCTCCCACCTTTATTTATGTAGTCCACCACTGTTGTGCAGGAGGGGATCCTCAGTGACTAGCAGAAAAAAGGCACCTCCCTCATACCAGCTCCAATACAGAGGGTGGAGGAGCAAGACAATGGGACATAATGATTTTCACTCTGAGCATCATAAAGCAAGATGGTGACAGGACAGAGTAAGCAAAATGGGAGACAGCACATGGGCTCTGTAGTTAGTTCTACACCATCTTGGACGTCCCAGGGTGACCCAAAGTGGAGTAGGCCCCAGTGGATTTGGCCTTAGCCGCCTTCCTTTTCAAATCAGACGGGCTTGCCCAGGAAATGAGATCTCCTTTAGCTGATGTTCCCACTATAAAAAAATAATAATAAATAAATAAACACTGAAGAGACAGACGTGCTTATCAAAATATCTCATGGCAGTCCATGATGGTGTTCGATTTTAGTGTTAATTAAAAACAAAAGGCAATCTTAACACAAATTTTTCAAAGACTATGAAAACCATACTGTTATTCACCTAACACAGAATCTCTCCCTCATTGTTATTGGCCAATAATTTATATAACACTTTGGTGAGTTTATATGTTTCTTATCTGGGGTTCTTTGTTTTAAGCAAACCAGTTGAAATCATCATAAGCTTCATGACTGATGACTGTTCAGACCCTAAAGGCTGGGTGGGCATGGACTTACTCGTTAGCCTCCAGGGCTAATACTCATGAGCACAGAAGATGCCAATTACCAGTACTGAGGCAGCCAGGTGATCTATAACAGCATGCACTGGTGTCAGATGAGAGCACACCTCAGGTGACAGGAGTAGGACACAAAGGGCTCTGCTGGAATCAGTCGGACCCTTGCAGCCCCAGGCACCAGGCCCATCATGGTTCAGGCTAAGCAAGGAAGTAGCTACAGCCTCTAAATGCATGGAAATGGAGGGAACGGCAGAGTACAAATGACCATTAATGAGATATACAGACCTGGGGGGGCCTCACCTATCATGTCAATCAGTAGAGCATCTGACATGTGCAGACACTGACTCTCAGATCCTTTGACACTCTTCTCCCACTACCCTTCCATAGATCACAGGGCATCTGGGAACACATGGGAGACAGGAGGGCCCTCCCTAAAAGCCTTCAGGTCACTCTGAGCCTGTGTCTTGGCCACTAATAGAGCTGTCATTTGCAGAATTAATACTGTATCTCATTCAATTAATGCATGCCTCAGTCCTCCTGAGGTTAACATGATTAAAAGAAATGCCAAGAGCCTGGCCCTGAGAATATGAATGAGTCAGGCTCTCAGTCTGTGCGCCCCCCACCCCCATCCTCGCCTCTCCCAAATGAGTCCAAATCTCAGTCTGCAGCAGCCCCTGCCTCCCTCAATGCTGAAGCAGCCAGATGAATACACATCAGCGCTTGTGTTCCTGTTCAGCACAAAAAGCACTCATGACGGGATGGAGAAGGAAGGACACTAAGGAACTGGAGTTGTAAAGAGGAAACGGGTTCAAGGCACAGCCATCTGCCCCACACTGAATCTGACAGACCCAGAGCTGCTATCAGACACCTGGTGGGACAGGAAAGGCCGACTTTGGCCTTTCTTCTTTTTGAGGTTGACTCCTCAAACCTGGGTCATTAGTACCAGACAAATTCAAAAGCATATGCACTTTCTTAAAACAATAGAACGCTGACCTCTCTGGTTATTTACCACCCACAAAGCAGAAACAATTTCATTTATATTTTTTTCTGTTCAGTCTATTCTGTAGTCAGTGGTCTCTATGTTAAATTCTTGCTGGCTTGCTGATTGCACCCAGGATCCTGTAAATGCTAAGCAAGCACTCTACTACTGAGCTACACCACTGTTTTTTACCGTTTATTTTGGAACAAGATCCCAATTAGTAGCCCGTTTGGCCTTCAGCCTACAGTTTTCCTACCTCAATCTCCTGAGTTGCTTCTCTTAGAGTGAGCTGTTCAGGCCTGAGTGTCTAGCACTAAGTGAATCTGAAAGCATATGAACCTTCCCCTTAAAGCAAGAAAATGACAGGCATGCACTACTGTGCCTGGCTACATTCCTAAGTAAATAGAGTAGACATGTTACGGGCATGCACCACTGTGCCCAGTTACATTCTTAAATAAATAGAGTAGACAAGGGTCCACAGAAAAAGGGTTACTTTTGCTGGGCAGTGGTGGCCCACACCTTTAATCCCAGCACGTGGGAGACAGAGGCAGGAGAATCTCAGTGAGTTTGAGACCAGCCTGATCTACAAGAGCTAGTTCCAGGATAGGCTCCAAAGCTATACAGCTCAAAAAAAAAAAAAAAAAGTACTTTTAAGCTTTCTGAAAAATGCAACTTTTAAAAAGTTCAGACCAATTCTTAATCTAAATGAGCTCCATCCCAAAGAAAAAATATAAATTCATAATTGAATGCTGGTTGGCGTAAATGGGTGACCTGATGTAGGGGTTAAGGCAGAGGCAGAGGGAGAGGGATTAATGGTCATCTATGGCCTTTATTGCTTGTTCTTCTGAACCTGTTGTTTCTGTTGGAGAGGAAAATCAACTAAAGGAAGGAATAACATCAGACACAGACATTCACACTTAAGAATTCATCAATCTGGAGGTAAATGCCCATGTTAAGCATCACGCAGAACTCAGGGACAGATGTAAACACAGTAACCACACCCCAGGTACCCAGATGCCTTGCTATCTGGTAGAACAAAAAGCACTGCTACCCCTGCAATTAGCTAATGGGGTTCTGGGAGAAGCTTTGATACAAGCATGGGGAGTGGCTTTCACTCACTAGAGAGGAAAGAGAGAATGCCCAGCCTCTTGAGATAAGGATAGGCCTTAAAAAAGAAAACAATATCTTGTCAACTCCTCGTGCCCTCAAAGAACTTAAGTGGTCTTTATTTAAATTAATTTGCATATGGTGTTTAAGAAATAATGTCCTTACATAATGATGTCCTTTGACTTGTGACATGTGAATTCCCTATGGCTTCATAGGGACTAAGAATGGAGTGTTTGTATCCAAATTTTGGCTGAACATAGCTTAGGCCCTTCACTTCATAATCTTTGTATTAGCTCAATTTCTGTTGCTATAGGAAAATACTTGAGGCTAGGTTACGTTTAAACAAGTTTATTTGGCTCATAATTTTGAAAGATGAATGGCCAAGAACAGGGAACCCCACTGGCTCAGTCTCTAGTGAGGACATGGAAGAAATACAGACAAGAGTCATTATCTGGTGACAGGAAGCCAGAGAATAGGGAATTCAGTTTTGGTCGTGTTTTAACAACTCATTCTCATGGGACCTAGCCAGGGTCCCATGTGAACTACATTAATCCCTTCCAAGAGCAAGGTTTCCACAATGACCTAATCACCTCAGTTCTCATACCTTTAGAAGACACATTCAAACCACAGTAGTCCCGATGGGTAAAGTCCGTTCAGCTGCCCAACGCTCTAGGCTGCAGCTGACATATCCCATGTGACAAAGCCTTACATAGAGCAGTATAGACCAATCAGCAACATCTATAGCATTTGTCTGGCTCATCTCACTGGCTGCTGGTTAGTTACCACTGAAGAGGCCTTATATGATCAGCCAGAGGGTTATATGATCAGTGAGTTTGTCACAATCAGAGGCTTCTTTGTCCTTTCCCCTGGTATCCTTGTATGAAGCTCTGATATGCCCGATTCAATCCTGAACATCAGGCTCTACTCCTTCCTGGCAAGATGGCACCCAAACGGCATCAAAGAATAACAGACTTCGAGAGATACTCGATCTCGCACCCCATTGCTAACCATCTATACTAACCTGCTCCAGCTCTGTCCTCTCATATTCTTTCTAACTATGATGAACTGATAGTGCCTCTTTTTCATATCTCACCTCTTGTACCATCCCTGCCCCTGCTCTCTGCAACCTGGAGCTTCTTGCTAAGTGTTGGTGGCTTCTTTCTACTCACAACTGCATTCACCCCAGAAACCTTGGCCCCCACCGACAATGGTCAATTCTGTGCCACTGGAGACTGGAGTGCCACCAGTAATGATGCCCTTCCATATCATGTCTCCCCATTAAGAATTCAAATAAATGTTGTTTGGAAAATAGCCTTTTTCTTCAAATAGTTACTCAAGGAAAGACACGAGTGGGGTCTGAAAAGGAGTAGGTAGGGTGATCCGAGTACCATTTTGACCCTCAGACTCATGATGGACCTGAGGGCACTGAAGGTCCCCAACTCCTCCCAGTACCCAAGCTTTTCTCTACCCTGATGTCATCTGAGCTAAGGTACCAAAGTCTTGTTTCTCTATTCACCTCTGTGCACAGGTATCCGGATGCTGGACCAGCCCTTTATGACAGACATCATCGAGGCCTCCTCCATCAGTCACATGCCTCAAATGATAGACATCTACAGTGCAAGCTGGGGCCCCACAGACAATGGGAAGACAGTTGATGGGCCCCGAGAGCTCACACTCCAAGCCATGGCTGATGGCGTGAACAAGGTAAAGACATTCCTGTCACCACAAGACCCCAGGCCACCCATGAGGTAGGACATGGAGGGTGAAGTGGTGGTAAAAATACAGAGGACAAAGTGGCAGGGTGGGGTTGGAGTGGGTTTATAACTCTTCGTGTTAATTTAGAGCCTGTGGAAGATAGGCACAGAGTTGGGTTTAGTGGTGCAAGAGGCACATGGGAGGGAATTCCAAGCAACCGTGATGTGGAAGAGAGACAATGGAGTCAAAGAAGGCTAGATAAGAATGGGGCCTGACCTTTGTGATGGGGACAGAAGAGGAAGTTTGCAGAAGATGGCTCTGAAACCATAGTCCTACCCTGAAGAAGTTTCTGCAGAGTTGACAGGTTGTCTTCAAGTGAAGTCACCCATGAAGGGCAGAAATGGGCCAGCACTGCCATCCTCACAACATGCTCAGTAGAAAGCCAGAGGCAGCCCACAAACAAGTGGGGTCTCTGCCCACAATAAATGGCAGATCCAGGGGCAGCAGCTTCCAAGCAAAGCCACAGTGCTTCTATAGGAGGAGGTCTGAGCAATGAATTTTGTGGCCATTGATTCCTATTAGCTCAGCGATAAACAGTGCCAAAGAGAAGACACCAAGCTGGAGTGTCCAACACGGGCTCAGCTTCATATTTAACGAAGTGGTGCTCCCTCATATTATAGGGCAAGGGTCATCTAGTCAGGACACGAGCCAGGTTCATGGAGCAGAGTACTCATGGACCAAGACCTTATTCCAATCTCTAGTCCCCGAGAACCTAACAGCAAGTGATTTCACCTAGCCTAGCCTGCTTTGTTGCCTAGAAAATAATCATATGTGGAATCCTTCAAAGGACTGGGATTGTTATGAGATGTAAATTTGGTAAAATCTGGTCATGGCACTGGGAAATGCCCACAGTCCCATGCACTGCCCTCCCTTAGTCAACTACCCTAAGATCTCATGGCACAAACACAGCCTTTTAGAAGTGGGTTCCATGGATCAGGAATTCAGAGAGGGCACATTGGAGATGCCCTGACTTTTCTCCAGATTCCTGGGTCCTGAAGTGCCACAGTACTTGTGATTTAAGCCCCAGTGCCCAAACTGTCTTCACAAGCTGTTTTTGTGTTGCTGAATTTAAAGCATGGCCACTGGCAAGCCTTGCAGAGGGGAGTGATGGGAAATGCCACGGCTCAGCCCAGCCTGCCTGCTGTAGCCAATACTTTAGATTCTATCAAGGGCTGAGGGGCATTGCTGTCGATCCATGCCTCATAACCCTGGGATACTAAGACTCTAAAATAGCCCTTTAAACACACACACTAAACAGAAAGGACATGTCAACAGTTTACATTCAGGGAGCAGCAGGGTCATATGGATGCTTATTCTCTATGCTCCAGGAGCAGACATCAGGTAGCTCAGCTGAAGGACATCTTTTGAGAAGGCAGGAGTGACTAGAGCAATGGGGTAATTCAGGCAGGTCCTCACATGGCTGATGGAGAGTTGGGCTCCTGGGCCTCAGATAGCTGTAAGATGTACAGAAACCCACACTAGGATGCTAGGCCGCCTCACCCCGTTTTCCCTGGCTTCAGAACTCATCCTTTTCCATCTTTTCTTCTCCTTAGGGCATGTGTTCAAGTAGTGGAAAGATCCCCTTCCCATCCTTGCTCAGCACAACCTGGCAGCCTCTGTGCTACATGTCCCCACTGCTTCCAGGAAAAGCGTGGCCCCAAATTAGGAGACACACCTTCCCCAAGCCCGGGTTTCAAAAATAATGTGGTTCTGTCTGAAAGGCTCCGAATCTGAAGGGACCAAAGACAGTGACCTTTCTAACACCTTCTTTTTCTCTTCTGTTGGGAACAACTCATGATGGTTGATATTCCCCATCCTCTAAAGGAGAAATCTCTTGTGTACTGTTGAATTCTGCTAAAGATCTGAACAGAAATATAAGACCATATGTCCCTCTCTGTTATAGGGTTGAAGAGTGTGCCCACTTTCTCCTCTGGAAGTCTTAACCCTGTGTGTCTCAAAATACAACCTAATTTGAAATTCAGGTCATTGCAGAAATAATTAGTTAAGATGAAGGCATGTCAAGTGGGCCAGGCCCCTAAGCCAGTATAAGGAAAAAAATACTTAGTTATTAATGAAAAATGTTAGTGTTTGCCCACAAATATGCTCAAAAGGAGAATGTTGCACAAAAATGAAGACAGAGATCTCAGGGCCCACATGCAAACCAAGGAATACCAAGATGCCTGGAAATCTCCAGAGACTGGGGAGTGTGTGTAAGAGCCTCCCTCTAAGGTCTGGAGAGAAATAAATTCAGCTGACACTTCAGTCCCAGACAATTAGATTCCAGGGGATTCCAGAGCAGCTAGGCAATTAATTTTTGGTGTTTAGAACATCTAGTTTGTGGTACTTTATTATGGTAGTCCTAGAAAAGTAATTCACTCTTTCAATTTCAGAACAGGAAATCAGAAGGGAGTGTTTAACCAGACTCTGTCACTGTGGAAAGACCTGGTCACTATTCCAGGTCACCTTGATATCTCTTGGCTCTCTCTTTTATAGGCAAGATAGTTGATCACTGGTCCAATAGTAGTATTTTTTTCTTCTCTTTTGCAAACTCCAAAGACCATCTTCCTTCATTCTGTATCACAGTTAAAGAGCAAGCATTCAAAAGTCCACAGAAAACCACAACCAATCAAAATACAGAGTTGTAGGGCCTAGTCTTGATGGACACATCTACAAAACACTCCCACATCTACAGTTCAGAGATCACTGTGGAAGAGGGGGCAGGAAGATTGCAAGAGCTAAAGGGTCAGGGAGTTTGTTGTGAGATTGTGTCTCCTAGTAACATCAGAAACTATAGCCATGAATTCTCACCAACATGACTGCCTCAACAAGAGCTGAACAAGGATGACACCAATAGGTTTGTCAGAGGTATAAGGGATTGCTGTAATTTAATCTTAATGACAGAAACGTTCCTGTATGTCTAGTGCCGTGATGGAGCTGCTCTTGATGACATCACACTGATAGCTTGAAATCAGGCAAGGAAGTTGGCAAATAGAGCTTTGACAACCCCATTCAGAGAATTTGTTGTTCACCAACACAACCTTGGCTTCCTTCAGTCTTAGAAATTGCATACACCATACTCTCCCTGTAAGTAAAGACAGCCTTGCCTTAGTGAGGCTGAAAGTTACCTTTGGGAGGGGAAAAACTGGAATAAAAGCACCTGAAACCCTGAACCCTGGGTTTCTGCAAATTGACAAGTTTTTTTTCAACTGAGTCACTGCTTTTCCTGTAACTGTGGAGGACAGCTTTGTTAAGTAAGCCGTGACCTCACTCTAAGGAAGTGTTGTCTCCCGTATATTCAATACAAGTTTGAAGAAACACTGAGTCCTGGAAGCAAACAGCTTCATGCCATCCACTAAACATCAGTTCCTACATTGAGTGGGGCCTGGTGGGAAACTAGCAAAATGTTTCGGCAATCTGCCATTGAAATTGAGCCAAACCTAATCAGTGTGGAGGACCCTAACAGTAGAACGGCACAAGGCAAAGGCCTACCAGTGGAACCTGGTTGCAGGAGGTGGTGCCGCTGCCCTGTTTCACATACTCAAGGCTGGAACTCTTGACACATCAGTGGCTTGCTTCCTTAACACGTGGTTCACTACATAGAAAAGAAAAAGAAAAAAAGCAGACATCCAACCCCGGACCAGACAGCAGGAGTCTAGGGGAACATTTGGCAGGTGTTCATTTCTCCAGCAGACATGGTACGTTTTGGCACCTGAAGCTGGAAGAATCAGGCAAATGTGTGACAAGTGCCCGCTGTCCACATTTGCAATGCAGATGCACTTGAAACAAGGTACCCCTGGGTGGCTCCTGTCATTTAATGTGCTTCCGAACGACACATCTCAGAGCTGGATCACCCACTCTCTCGGCTCCAGCTGTAACCTCCCTGACTTCACCTGAAAGGCCTTTTCAAGGGCAGTGCTTCTGCAAAACATGCCCAGATTGCTGAAAAGCAAGAGAAAAGTCTTCATGACTTATCTTCAGACAACAGCATGAAAATACTTTGAAGAGGAAAGTGCCTGGTGTGGTGGGGAATACGTGTCTTCTCATTTGGCTTTTGCCCAGGCTGTGGGAACAAGATTTTGTTTCAGGATAACACTTCTTAGACAGTTTTGGGGATGTTGTAAGTGATGGCATATTATGCCAAAGCAAAGGGCTCCTCCTCCTCCTCAGTTCAGTTATCTGATTTACTCGAAAGAAACCCCTACCTAGGAAAGGTGGCATGCAGTCACACACAAAATCCCAACAGTTATGTACACAAAGGCAATTTTTACATTTGTCTTTTGATAGTAACACCCTGCATATAGGTTTCGTTTGACCAATATAATAACCATAAAAATGAAAAGGAAATGAAGAAGTGGTAAGAGATCCCTAACAGGCACACACTGCTTGCCATAGATTTTACCATTTCCAATTACCTGCTTCACACGTAAAACTCATTTGTCTGGATCTTCAGAAACGCCAGTTTGTCTCTTCCAAGTTTTTCAGTAAATGCTTGACTAGGCCTAAAAGAACAGGCAAGATGGAAGGAAAGGGATTGGAGACCTGTGTTGGGGGCCAAGTGCTTTCCTGACATGCACAGTGCTCTGGGTTTGATTTCCCCCACATCAAGGGAAAAGAACAAATCATTTCCCCTTGCCTCATTACAGTCTTCACTCTTTAACTTGGTCGTGTACATGTTGGGTTTTTAGTTAAAGCATTTTTCACAGCCTACCTGGGAAGTGGTAACAGAGATCCCAAATGGTGAGGTAGACAGTAATTAATCTCTACCTGTGATGGCTAGTTTGGTGTCACCGTGGCTGGAGCTAGTTTTGCATCACTTTGACAGGAGATAGTTTTGTGTCACCTTGACAGGAGCTAGAGTCATTAGAGAAGAAAGAATCTTAATCAAGAAAATGTCCCCACCAAACTGGCCTGTAGGCAGACCTAAGCTTCATTTTCTAATTTAGTGACTGATATGGGAGGACCCAGCCCATTGTAGGTATTATAGACAAAAGCAGGCTGAGCAAGCCTTGGAAAGCAAGCTGGGGGGGGGGTGGCTGGACTACAAACTGTAAGCTGAAACAAAACTCTTTCCTCCCCTGGTTGTTTTGGTCACGGTGTTTTATCACAGCAACAGAAGCCAAACTGGAACACAGCCTTGGTTTGCAATCTCCCGAAAGCAAACCCTGAGACAAGGCTTGCGTTGATGTTATTTGGGAGGCAAAGGGAGTTCCAGGAGTGATGGGGAGATGTGATGAGAACCACGAAGGGTCAGCTCAGGCTGTGTACTCAAGCCAGCTACCCCCACGAACAATTAAAATCATAAGATACCAGAAATCCATGCAGACACACAGGAAAGCTATCCTGTTTGGGTGCAAAGCAGCTAAGACAGAAACCCCTGGATGAGATTTACTCCCAGGGGTGGCAATGCCTTAGCAGTTGAAGCCAGAGGGCAGGTACATGGAGAAGCCTTTGGCCTCTTGGGAAATAGCCCTAAGACAAAGAGATGTCCATATTGGCATTTGAAAATTCCCAAGTACAAGAAGTTCTGAGGTCCAAAGGATCTGGGATGACATGTGCCATCTGTTATAGTCACAAGAGCAAAATCTAATCAGAGACTTAGAGTCATCACTCTCCAGACAGAGCACTGGAGAGCATATGTTCACTGTATAAATGGACAGATGTGGCCCCTTCGAGGAGACGTATGAGGCAACACACAAGCCACCAGAGAACACAGCATCTCATCCTCCAGCATCTTCTTTTGCTCTGACAAGCAGAAAAAGAATTCAGACAGTGTGAGAGAACCTTGACGATGACAGAGGACTCATGAGGCTCTTCTCCCACATAAATGGCATACAGCCACCCAGGACAGCCTGGAACATTTTAGCTGGTTCTGACGACTGTATCTCAACCCCTTATTAATCTCTTCTCAGGACTGCTACTAGAGAGAGCAAATAAGTTATGAGTAGTTAAAGACAAGCAGCAGGAATTCTCTGTGGTGCTGATGAGACTGAATGCTGATAGATCATCCTTGGAGCTGGTTGAGGACAGGGGGATAGAGGGCATGGCACAAGTGTCAGGTTTCCGCACTAGAATATATGAAGATGATGAGGCACTTGCAAAAGAATGGCTCAAACACCACCATCCAGGAGTAGGGAGTAGAGGGCTGGCTGAGGAGGAAGTGATTAATCAGGTGTGGGCCAGGCAAAGCCCTGGTGCAGCTTGATGAAATTTAATCAGAGCACAGGTCAGATCCAGTGGCAGCAGTGGCAGGGCCTCAGCAGGCGATAGATGCCTCCTGCCATGGAGCACTCAGGGACACCAGTCCTGATTTATCCTTTGAAGCCCAATGAAACTCAAAAGGGTTGCTTGGCATAAAGCCTGAAACTCAGCCACCTCCGAAACGGTTCACGTCTTATTACAATCCTTCCCTTCATTTCTGGGACATAAAGAAATAGAAGAAGGTAGAGGGTCTAGACTCAAGGAGTTCATAGTCATTTCCACAACATAAGGATTTCAAGGCCTGCCTGCGCCACATGAGCCCCTGTCAGGAAGGATAGGCCTGCCTAGCATGTGTAAAATCCTGATCAATTCCCAGCACCATAAAAACAAAGATATTTTATATTGGCATTTATTATTTATATGTGTTAATGCTATAGTCATTATAAAGCACAATAATATTGTTATGTGGATGCAGAGACTCCAAGCATGCATTCCTTCTCATCAAAAATTCCTTCTTTTAGTAACTCCACCTAAGTAAGCAGAGATTTTAAAAAAAGACATATAAAATTACATATATTTGAAAAATTAGACAGTTTTTGAAAATTATAAATAATCCTCCATGTAAGTCTAAAAAGGAGAGAATAAATTGCTAAATGCCTATTCAGTGAGACTAATAAAACATAATTTAGAATATTATTAATCATATGAGTAAATGTTAATTATATTATAGTAAAAATTGCATTTTAAACAGGCCAAGTAAAGTGAATCTATTTTATTATACCAGGTTCATTTCTGAAGCTATTCTAATACTTTGCCTCTCTATATGAAACTGTCAGGAACCCACAAAATCACAGTAGGAATCATTTATTCACAGGTTATAAAGAATTTCTATTTTCCTCTCCATAGTCTCATATTTCAATTATTCTATATTGCATGTAATTTTTACAATAAAAAGTTAAATGATTTTTAAAGCATGTTAATGTACTAAGATGTCAAGTTGAAAACCCGATGTGGTAGTGCATACCTGTAATTCCAGCTTTTGAGAGGCTGGGGCAGGAGGATTTCTGTGAGTTCAAGGCCACAAGGCTAGGGTAGGCTACAAAGTAAGGACTTCACTTCCACTCAGTGGCAGCTGCTCTGCAGCCCAGTGCCCTCCCACAGCCTCATTCATGCATTTGTGATCAACTGGAAGGTAAGCTAGAGACTGGCTGGTCTAAGGAAGCTCTAACATTGACCATCAGTCGGGGCGGTGAATTGGCCTGGGCTCTGTGACAGGCTAAATCAGATTCATTGCCCTGTATAACAAATTTCTGAGACACAGCAGAGATGTACAAGGCTTCTTAAGTCTTGGGCTTAGAATCTTTGCCCACTTGATGTCTCTTACATCTTGATGGTCAGATCAAGACATGAAGCCAGTCGGGATACAAGGAGAAGAGAAGGGACCCCTTCTCCTCTTGGGCAAAGCTACAAAGTCCTATTACGAACAATGTTGATACATGGAATTATGCAAGTAAAGGTCAGAGTGACACCCCCTACACCAGGGTGCTTCCTTGTATCAAGGTTGCTTCACTCACTGGTAGCCTGCTCAGGGACTCGTAAGGGAGGGTTGTCTCAGTATTGAGCCCAAATCTGAACCTGACTGTATGTCCCTCCAAGCCAACATCAGAAACCATCTGTTTCCTCTTTGTCCTGGTTTCCAAGAGCAATTGCTTATTCTGATGGCGTCTTTCAGCTGTATAGATTTACCAAGAATCCGAAGACAATTCCCAGTTTGTGGTCAATTATTTGTGGGCTTATTGACTCACTCAGTCACAGGCTAATTAATTCCCAATCCTGTTAGAAGAAATTCAGAATGCCACTTCTCCTTGTCAAGAGGAAATAGACCTTGGAGGCGATCCAGTCCCTCTTTTTCTAATGACATCTCCACCTTAAACCACTGAATCGGAACCACAGACCCATGGTGGCCACACAGGGGTTTTCTCTGTCTCCTGCTGCCCCTTCTTTTTCTTTCTCCTTCCCACCTCTCTCCCTCCCTTTCTCTCCCTCCCCCTTCCCTCCTCTCTTCCACCCCTCCCTTAAGAGCAGTGATTCTCCACCTTCCTAAAGATGCAGTTCCTCACGTTGTGGTGACCTAAAATTATTTACATTGCTACTTCATAACTATGATTTTGGTACTGTTAAAAATTTCGATGTAAGTATCTGATATGTGGGATATCCGATATGTGACTCCCCCAAGGGGTCATGACCCATAGGTTGAGAACCATTGCTTCAGAGGGTCATCCTGCCACCCTGCACCAAGTTATGGAGAAATGGGAGCTTGTACACCTGCCCCTCACTTCCCCCACTGCATGGCTACCCTTCTCTCCACTTTCCCACCCACCCACCCCCAGCTCCACTGCCTTAGG